AAACATTCTGGAAGTAACCATTTACCTCAAACATGAACTGAAGTAACACTTGCAAAGTTTAAGAAAGAGTAACAAAGATCATCAGTACAAGTTATGTCCTACAATATTAATATTTCTTGCCTGAAAGTTGGGACTGGAAATTTAATTCCTTTGGAATCCTCATGTCATTTCATTCTCAGAAAGAAAAATAGCTTCTGCCAAATAAGGCAATATTTGTCCTGAGTTGATAGGCCACCGAGTGAGGGTACTTTGAATTGAGCATTAGTTAGCTATTATTTTTTTCATTTCAGTTAATGTTACTTTCTGGCTCTTGTTTAGAGCTAACGTAGTGCTGACTTTGGATTTCCAGATCCTACCAGGAAACCTCAATTTAGAGCAGTGCTTCCTAATGACCTGACTTTCAATGTAATGAAAACATTTCTGTTAATTTTACACTACAACAGAAACAAACAGAATTGTAGAATAAGATATTTCATGCACCACTTATATGTTGAGGGATATTTATATGTGGCTTACAATTGATAGCACAATATAAAACTATTTATAAAATATACATAATATCGTTAGCCTATTTAATAATGTTGCATGTGGTTAAGAATTCAAAAGTTTCTCTAATTCATCAATCATATTAAAAAGAAAAACCACCATCAAATCCCAACCATCTTGACAGCTCCTGCCTTCAAGGGCAATTTGATAACAATAAAAGATAATAAATCTCAAATTATATGTTATACTTTTATTTTATTTATTGATTTTTATGTGGTGCTGAGGATCAAACCCAGGGCATGTGCTAGGCAAACGCTCTATTGCTGAGCCACAACCCCAGTTCCCAAATTATTTTTATTCATTGAAAACACCTATGTACAATGCTAGGTATCAACAAATACTCATGTTGTTCCTTTATGTTCTCAGCCATACTATTCAAAAGCTATGCAATATTCTCATCAACATTTTTGTTGAAGACAAAACAGGTTAAAGGCAACTCACTGCCCCATCTACTTATTTGAAAAATGCAAACTGGAAATTCTTATTTATTCACTACTAATTTTACCTCAATGCTGGTGCTGGAATTTAAGTGAATCCCCAAAAATGATAGTTATAATGAAGACAATAAATTATAGAGCAAGCCTTAAAGTAAATGGATTATTAGCTTCACTCTGAATTTAGGAAACATTGTCCACACATATACTGCTGTTGGGAATAAATATGGTGAACATGGTCTGAAAGAGATTTTGGCAATATGGATCGAAAACTGCTAAGCTTTATATCCTTGGCTTCTAAGAAAACGTAAAAACAACAACAACATACAAAAAACAATAGATCTTACAGTGAAATGCCCAGGCTCTGACAATAAAATAT